CATATTCCACCACTTCCACAGTACTCACCTTTCCTTTTCTCTGTGTCTGTCTGTCTGTCTCTTTTACATCTTTGAACCACTATTCTGTCCCCCCCCCCATCTCCAACTTTTCTCACTTTGATGTTCCCCCTATCTGTGAAGCCCGAAGTCAGCTAAAGGGTTAATAATAACTATCATAAAGCCTGCCACTTAAAATAAATAAATGAATACTTGTAAATATGCCCTCTGAAGATCCAAATGCGAATTACATGTCATTAAAAATCGTTCGTTTTCAATTATTCAGCGTCCTTTGCTACTCTCATGCGAAAAAAACGCATTTTTTCCTAAATATTGCCTTTCCTCCATGTTTTTTTATAATAATTAACATTAATAAGCATTAGTTAAATATTGAATCCTTCTGTAGTCATTTCCCGTTCTCGTGTTTCATTATTAGCGCAACATAAGAGAAACCAGATTTTTAATAAGTTATTACCTACGGCACCTCGTGGTGCACCCTGGCAACGTTACTCGTTACTCACCTTACCCTTTCTGAGCATTTGTGTCTGTCTGTTTCTTTTACATCTGTGAATCACTCTTCTGTTCTCCCTCCCTTCTTTATCTGTTCTCCCTCTCGAATTCTTCTCATTTTGATGTTCCTTCTCTCCTCTGTGAAGCCCAAAGTCAACCAAAGGACTAATGATAACTATCAAAACGCCTGCCATTTGTTATAAATACCTACGGCATCACGTAAGGTGATTTTTTCTATTATTGAGCTAATTAAAAATATTTATAGTTTTCGAATACCTTGAAAATGACTTAAATCCGTTCAATACTGTTTGCCTATGAAAATGTCAAAGAAAGTACAATGTGTCTTAGAGATGCTTAAAAGTTCATGCACCCCTATTAGCTTGTATAACTCAAATGTGACAATAAACAAAACTGACTGTTTCCTACAAAATTCAATTTAGAAACTCTAACATTGTTATTGGCCTGTAACCTAGTAAGGCCATAGTGTATTTTTGACTTATATAGTGGCTAATGTGGATAATGTGAATGGGACAGATTTAGTCAATATCAGTGTTCATTAAGTGCTTTTTTATGAAATTCTAATTATTTTTATTCAAAGGATACTTATGATCGCTTTATAATAATAATAATAATCGCTTTATTGTTTGCCATCTCAAACACTGGATAGATGTTTCGAGAAAAAGTTTCTTCTGATCATGTCAGTCCAGCACAGCTCAAATAATATAGTCAGAACTCAACAACTTTTCATTTAGTTCTTGAGATACGTCAACCGTCCTATTCATTTGGGTTACTGAACTGTAGATACCACAGATAATCTTATAGTTTATAAGATTAGATTAGTTAAATAGATGACTTAATTTACTAGTCAGTTCAAACAAAGGGAAACAAATTTTTCTCCTCGATTGTTCTCCCCTGCAAGAATGTTGAACTATTTCAAATTTCTTGCACACTTCATAAATAAATAAATAAAATAATTTTGTTTATTGCGATGCACTATAGCGTTGTTTATTCCTCCCAATAAACACTAGCCTACCGCATGATTTGATAAATGGTGGCTTCGTGGAAAACACCAGTATCTACATTTTTCCTCTCCAAAAGAACCGTAAGCTGGAATCTAATCCAGTCTATTCATTTTAACAAAAAATACTGTCATCTTTAAATCAATATTAAGGAATTATCTCATTCACAAATTATGCAATATCTTATTTTCCAGTAAAGTTAAGGCATTTTCAGTCAATTTTTTTCAGCAACATTATTGAAAATATAGCTTCGCTTGAAGATTTCATGGCAGTTAAATCTTTACACTACATAAGATATTGTTACACTCTAAAGTTTTGAAATGAGTGTAAAGGTGGCAAAAGATATATTATTTCGACTTAGGAATGTGACCAGTCAAGTCTAGTCAATCCAGTCGATCGATTCTGGTGTAGCCCTTTCAGCGTCTTAAGAGCATAAATGTGTTTCAGAATTTTTAATTTTTCTCAGTTAGCCACCCAGATATCTCATTATGTTCCTCCTATTCAAACTTGGCTTTGACCCCTAAACAAAATCACATGTATATCTTCACTCCCTCCCTCCCTCCCTCCCCACTCCTCCTACATCTCTACTCACTTATCATCGGTATCTCAGACTCCTTGAGTTTTCCATCTAGACAACTGTCCCTCTTCTGTCAACCATGATGTTTAGGGGAAATGGAAGAAAGGCCGAAGAACGATTGATCTGAAATTTGCAATATAGTGAGCTCTCATATACACCCGCCACAGATTATAAAAGAAATAACTGCTTGGGTGATCCAGATATTACAAAAAAGAGTTCTTCAATACTCAAGGACACACGCTCATTAATGAAGCCCCACCTATCCCTTAAGAAGCCTAAAATTTTTATGTTACACTTTTAAACTAACTACTTATATTAGTCAAATAAAATAGTTGTCTCAGATGAAGCTCATATGCTCCTGCTACTCTATGAGGCTATGCTTTTATTTACTGTACAATTGATAACTTTTGCTTATGATTGGAGCATACCTGTGAACAAAGTGCTGTTCCTCCAAATATTGACAACCTCTTGCAATATCCCTCATAATCTTTACCAAATCGGGGATAGTCAGTAGTGCATGAAGTTCTACCGCCCCAGCTCCACTGCAGAAGCTTTCTCCCGTAGTAGCTTCAGTGGTCTCCGTCTGCCTGCTTGAACGATCACTTCTCGCCGTATGCTCTTGTCTCGAGAAGTGTTCAGCTTGAGAGGGTGTTAGACGAGGTCTGGCTCGATGAAGATACTCCCGTAGATTTCCCTGGTCCATCATTTCCAAAACTAAACACTGGTGGTTTGGAGAATCCAAGGAGATACCATAGAAACGCACAATATTTTCATGCTGATATCTCTGCATCAGCATTGCCTCTCTCTTGAATTCTGATTCGGAGAGAGATTTAACATTTCTTACCTAAGACAATAAAAGGGAAGATATCGAAGTAGAAGCATTAAAAGTTGGGATATTTTATGAACAAAAAACAACTATTGCTCGAAGTTAAATGTTAAAATGTTGACCTATAAAAGATATGTATAATGCTTTAAAATGTAAAGTAAATAAATTCAAGTAAATGAAAATGAGAGTCTTATGCTCCAGACAAATGTTCTGGCCCTTTGGATTCAGAATGCTCTTACTTTTCATATGCGTGGAATTATTTGATGATTTTGATTAATAGTGGTCCACATGTCAAAATTGATCCTTGACCTTCGTCTCTACAAAAGGGATTTTATATTAAAATAGACTCAGATGAAGAACATATTTGAGAAATGATTAAAATTCTTCTAAAGGTAATAAATGGAGGGCTATGCAGCTTAAACGAAATTAAAAAACCTCGAAAGCATGAAAATTTTGACTAAGACATAAATTATTAATAAATAGCCCCAAAAAATCTTTTATTTGCCAATATTTTTTATTCCAGTTGTCTCTTCAAGCTTAAAATCCCATCTCAAGGGAAATTATATGAGGATGATAAAATGTTGCATTCCCGATTGCATGCAAAACTTTTGCAGAAAAGAAGAAGACAATTTCTACGTATAGACAGTCTGATAATTTCAAACCTTTCACTCTTCACTCATTCCAGATATTCTTTGAATTGCTTTAACCGCTCCTTTTTTGGTTAGAGGTACTTTGTGTTCATAGTATTTTATTAATATATTTTTCCTAAATAATAAAAATCTCCACCAACAGAGACTTCTGCCCACAAATTTCCAGCAATGGCTCTGTATACTTAAGTGACAATGTTTTAAGCATTTTGAATTCGAATTCTGTTGACAATTTATGATGTCAAATACTTGAAGTTGAAAGAGACTGCCTGAACACATCTTCAAGTAGATCTAGCGGTGGAAAAACAAGCTCCCAAATTCCTCTACCATTAAATTCAAGAAAAATTTCGGCTAGAATAGTGCAATACAGTTTCATTTGTATGCAGACAACCACCAACGCAAAAAACTACGGAAATTATTCGTTGATTCATTGCAAATTACGGTCCTTTCGCATTCAGCCAACTAGTTGGTTAGCAATGAAAACGAGGAGAACTTTGAAAAAAATCAATAAATCAGCTAAATACCAAAATAGAGGGGAAAATTACACCATTTCACAGCATCTTCTCTCCTGACATTTATCTTAAAGAGATTGGGAAACGAAAATTCTATTCCATTTTTTTTCTAAAATGATAGCAAACCGAAGGAATGAGAGAAATTAGATTCCGAGTAAAATTAGGAAAAGAAAATCTCGAATGGAATTTTCCATAATTAGCTAAAGCTCGGAAGTGTTTAATGTCTGCATTTAATAATGTTCTACTTAGTTTTGGTTTCTATGCAAATTAGAGGCATTTTTCGAAGCGAATAGGCAATCAGAACTTGAATATCAGAGGACTTAATATTGTTTTTCTAAACTATCATGAATAGAATCTCAACTTAAACTCATGGTAAGAAAATGAAAAAAAACACCATATGTGAATTTAACATTGATGATTGAATAAAATAGTTAGTTGATCTGTCTAATTGAAAAAGAAGATAAATTTGTACAAAGCGCTATGTGGGGGAGGGGAGATGCAAACTCATAATGACCACACAGTCCTGTGCCTAACGAGTGGCTGGGTACCTCCAGATGCACATCAGTGAGTCATATTTGGTACCATAACACCCAATTAAGCGTGAAACACCAGAACGAGGCATTCGCTACAAACCGGGGTAGCAACAGTGGGCTACACCTCAGTTGCCTGAAATTGTAGGGAATAAAGTTATGATTTCATCAAAATTCATTTATTGCCACCTAATGAACGGACTTTACTGCTCTTCCTTACACCATATTCCGACAAATTGTTATTCTCTCTTGATTTTAGTTACTTAAGTTGCCACTGCAGTTTAAAGTTAAATTATAATAATACTCTTCTAGCAAACTGCTAAATCTTGCATTCTATTTAATTAAATAAAATGTCCCACTAATCATATAGTTTTGTGGCCCTTTCGTCAACAATTTAAATAATTCCGAGCTTATCTGCACAGGCACAAAGCATGTAGTTATTTTACTCATATGTGAAATATGTGCATAAGAGTATCTTGCGTTCAATATTTAGCCACAAATTTAATGTTCACTTGTATAAATTACATTAATTCTCCCTACACATAAAAGCAACTTTAATTTTAAAAATTTTTTTAAATATTTCAACCACTATAGTTCTTGACCCAACATGTTGTCCACAGCTTTTTCGTTAAATATTAAAATGTCACGAATTAGCTGTCACATTGACTGAAAGTAGTTCCTCTATTCATGCCAATAATCATAATGTCCACTCAGTTTATGTAAAGCTAAAAATATTCACAATTTCAAACAATTATGGTTGTTAAAAGTAATCATGAATCTATACATGTATTTGCTGAAACATTTCAATTATTTATATGCATAAGTGACCGGTATTGGCTACAGCTATTTGCACTATTGCTACCACCTACTGATGACAAGGATGTCTGTAATGCCAAGCTCCACTGATATAAAAGAATAACAGAATCGCCTGAAGAAGCCCACAAGTGGGCTTCTGTGTTTTAAGCGGTCCATTTACCTTTAATGCAAAGGGAGGAATTTGTGACGATTATCAAATACCAAAAGCATATGATCCGTCATAATTTTATATTAATGTATACAAAATAAAAATTAAAAAAGTTTTATCAGGTTAGAAACTATCATAACTGACGAAGGAGAACCTTGGCTCTTTTCAATCGAAGTATATTCTTAACGGTACGGATAAAGACTCACTCAGGAGCCATAGATTAGTGTTCTGAAACGTTAATTTCAGTGCCATAGAAAGTGATGTGGTGTATTATGACCATACAACTTAACGAATTTATTCTTTACCTCCGCAATCTCCTCGTTCAACTCGGATTGAATAAATCTTCCTTGCAGTTCAATTCTCCTTTTTTTCGTAAATGAAAAAATCATATTATAGAAATTTTGTGCTGATTTTGCATTACCATTGCAGTTGCCTCCAACTGCATGTAATCACGCTCGAGTTCGAATTTGATATTTTGTTCCCAGTGCGCTGAAGCCTCGTCAAGTGGATGACCTATTTGACCAATTTACAATAGGTAAAAACCTTCTTTTCCCAAAATCAGTATACCCCAGATGGTCTAGATGTCAATTTAGTGGGACAGATTGACAAATACTTGTGCATCAATTATGGATTAACTAAATGAAAAAAAAACCATCGCACATGCGCCATTTCTCCACATCATCGAGAACATCAAAAAAGGATTACTACGTCTTTCCCTTTAAAAATATTTCTACGTTTTATTATTATGCAATATTGGGGGGAGGGGGGTAGCCTACTTGGAGTGATCCAGATTGTAGACATCTCCTTCTGCTTTCTATCCGCATAGGCATTTAAATGTCATCACCTTAACAATGTGAATAACATTCTCTCTCCCCCCCCCGCTCCCTCCCTCCTTCCC